TCGTCGACGACTGTCGTCATCAAATTCGCATTGGGTGCAGAAGTAAGGCCCAGGCGATTTGTCATTACATAAATATATATTTATATGGCAAATTGTATTTAATTTAGAGCTGACATTCGAGTGGCCTCCAGTCGAATAGTAAGCATTTTCGTAAGTCAAATCAAGTGCAACTCATGTGTAATTGTAATTATGCATCTGCGACTTGACATCTGGGCGGTTATCCAGCTCACAGAAAAGCTACACTCAGAGAAAAACTATGTACGAATGGAGAACGTTTCAAGCCTTGATAAATTCAAACTTTTAATTTTATGTCAAGAATGAAATGATTAAATCTATTATTTATTTCAAGTATATGTCAAGGCATCACTTTGGTAACGTTTAGACTTATGTTCACCTTGATTGCAGTAAAATTACTTATTATAAATCATTTAGCTTCCAGTTAAATGTTACTACTTAGTTGTATAGACTTCGGCTGTACAATACATTAACTCTCTCTAACCTGGACTTCACTTAGCCATCTTATCTACCATATTTATTTATAAATCTTTCTTCACATTCAGTTGCACGAAAATGGCCATGCTAAGATATATGTACTTAGTATAAATAGATATGGTATCTGGTATTTTGGCAGCATCTTAGTGGTTGCTGTGCTCTCCTCTTTATTTATTTAAGCTCGAGTGGGGTAATTACGTTTGTCGGGCGCGTGGCGTGAGAATTTTTGTTGTTTTCTTTTAATGTTTAATTTTTGCCTGCACTGCGGCAAACAAAAGACAGCGCAGCACAAACAACGGCAGCAACAACAATGGTGCTGAACGTGCTTCATGACATAATTTAGCCACTTAATTTTTACTTGACTTTGATTAGACAATCACCGCAAGGGGCTGAACCATCACCTGCGGCTGTGGCTCTATGGCAAACTGGCGCGATTTGTCAGCGACTTTGCTGCTGCAAGCGGGTTCAATTGAGTTCGAAACATTTAAAACTATTGAAAGGAAGCAAAAGCAAAAGCACACCACTTATATACACACACACACACACACACACACACACGCACACTAAGAAACCAGTCTAGGGTATAGTGGGTACATAAATACATAAATGCAGTTGCATTGCTGAGTAATTTCCCATGCTGCCATGTGGAAACCGCAAGTTTTGCGCCACATAAAACAAGCAGAAACAGCAACAACAAAAAACAAGTAAGAGTGCTCTTTTCGAGATTGCTTGACTAACAGATATCCTGTAGCCCGCTGAGAGCTGCTGTAACACACCTACACACACAAACTTTAAGATGTGAATGTCCCTTTTTCCTTGGTATCTCATCATGATGTAGGCCTTCTTCATATATTGCTCAGTTACTACAAGACATGCCAGGCAAATGCATTTATTTACCAAAGCGAAAGACAACAACTCTAATGGGTCACATTTTCTTTACTCATACGCTATGTGAGGCGAGATAATGAAAGCCAATATACCGAGTGTTACCCATTTCCAATGAGTTCGGCAAATAAATAACAAACAACAAAAACTGAAGTAACATATAAAAATAAACATGCACCACAATTTCTAAGCAATTTGGTAAACGCTAATTGCTATTAATAAAAACACTTTACAGCTCACGACGGCGATATCGGAACTGCTGTTGCTGAGCGGCTGAGTAAAGTGTAATGTAAAGGCACCTGGGTGGGCGCTACCTGTAATACCTGTGCCCAGTTGTGGACACGCGATATCTGGCAGAACGTGCGAATGGCTAATCAAAACCTGGCTCAAAATTTCACGAAACTCCCAAAAAATGTGAAAAAAAAATATACAAAAATTAGCAAATTATGCAAAAGATAGCCTTGAAATACCCAATGTTAAAGTCAAATTTATCGCATTTCATGTAAATAAATTTTGCGGTTGGTTGTAACAAAACACGCGCCTGGCTTAAACAAATACGAGTGTGAACAAGTATATGGTAAATAAATGATTAAAACAAAAACAATTAAAAAAGAAATCCTAAGTGCCTTTGTACGATGCATCGAAGCGCAAATGCTCTTGTCATAATATTCAAATTTTTTTATAGTATTTTTATTAATTATTCAGAGCTTAATGAGCTTGTTGAAAGAAAATATTGAACGGGAGTTTATAGATTTATGCACATACTCTAAACCGAACTTTGCCTGCATACATTTTCATGGAAAATATTATATATTCTGGCTTACGCAAATAATTCGCAAATATAATTATTTTTATCAAATTTGCCGTTTAGTTTGCAGTCAAATACAATTTTTTTTTCTCCAATAGGTTTTTGGAAGCAGCTGCAACAAACTGTAAACGTTTTTTTTTATGTTTTTTTACGGACTTTGCAAATTGTGTACAAACATTTTTGTAAGCTAAACAAAATATTTCGCGCCGGTCTGCACGCGGCGCATGTGGCATGCAACGTTGGCGCTGGCATTCCCCCCATTGCCATGGCCACTGCCACTGTCAGCGCCAGCAGCCGCAACCTCTCAGCAGCGGCAACAACAATTCAAACAGAAACACACTGCAACAACTTGGAGATACAGGAAACAGCAGCAGAAGCAGCAGCAGCAGTAAAAAGACAGAGATAGCAACTTTTAATCGTGAGCGCCAGCAAATAATATAACCTAAACAACAACAGCAGCAGCAGCAGCAGCAGCAGCAGCAACAGCATCTGGCTAACCACTTGAAGCACTTTCGTTTTCATGTGAGGCAACGGCAAAGTCTGCGCGTCAGCCGCATGGAAAGCGCCCGCTGCCATTTGGTAATGTAATGCGCGCATCTTAAAGATACGCTTCGATATTAACTGTAGTTGCTGTTGTTGTGATTGTTGTTGTTGCTGCTGCGTGGCATGCAAATGCGAGACTGGCTCTGCCTAATGTCGATCAGCTGTGGGGCTGCTGTCGACGCCCGCTTCGCTATTTGTCCGATTTTGTCGGGTTTAAAAAACTCTCTCGCTGCATCCGCTGCCGATCAGCTGGCCACATGTTGCTATGATGCAATTGCAATTGAATAACAGCAACCAGAGTGCAGTGAAATTGCAGCCCAATGCGCCACTGTTGCTGTTGCCGTTGCTGTTGCCGTTGCCTGTGCTGCATTCAAGGTCTCGAACCACGATTTCTCCTAACGCCAACGCAAAGATTTACGTGCTCATTTGGTTTAGCTTGACTAATTTGGCTGCTGCTGCTGCTGCTGCTGCTGAGTCCAAGTGACCCGCAACGCTTCCGTTGATTGTCGTCGCACGGTGTTTGCGTAAAATTTCATTTGATTTTTTCTAGGTATTATTTCCATTAAATTTATAAAAAAAATTAATTTCAGTTTTTGCAACGCTGTGAAAGTTCACATCACTCGATTTAGCCCCGGTATTAGCCCTAACTAGGGACGTGAACCGTAAGGTATAAAAATCTGCGCCGATTGTGCAAGCTATTTTCTGATTATGATTAACATTCGTCATCGACGAGCGGCAAACCAACAAACAAACAAGCAAACATCAACAAATTGCTGGTCTCCCAAGGCGGCGGTTAATTGTACAACAGCAGCAGCACAACTGGCAACTGTGGCAACTGCAACAGCCGTGCCACAGGCAGCGGCAATGACAGCGCCCACAACAACAAATTGACAGGCTGGCGGCTGGCTCAGCAGCGTCTTAACTGGGCTTAAATGATCAATTGGCTGCGTAAACAGACCATAGTTTTTGTTATTGCTGTTGCCGATGCGGCCGCTGATGCTGCTGTTGCTGTTGCATTTACAACTTCCCCATTGCAGAGTGCCCAATGGCGACGTGTGTATGTGTTGACGCTGCTGTTGCAGCAGCAACATGACTTATGAGTTTGTGCATCAACGCGGAATTCAAAACGGGCGCAGGTCCGGATGCTAGCCCGGGCGGACGTACTGCCCGTAGAGTCAGCTGCTGCTGCTGCTGCTGCTGCTGCTGAATGTAATGAAAACGAAAGTAACTCGCAGCAACACTCAGCTGCACTCGCATACACTCACTCACTCACTCACTCAGTCGGCCGCATTCAGTCGGTAGGCTTGTTGGGCCAACATCATTCACACTGATCCATCACGTTGTACCAATCAGCGTTATTTATACAGTTGTTTGTTCTATAGGTAATTATCATAAATATCATAGCAATGCCTGCCTTATAAATATTTCAATACCGAGTAAATGGTTCACTTAAATACCGTAATTAACATGTTTCAGTTGGGCCAATTAATGTGTACTTGTTAACTGCCACGCCAGGAATATCCGAGAAATACTGGACGTATACGTAACGTTGGTATTTTCCGCATGCAAACGCTCAACTAGGCGCATTGACCCAACAAACCAATTAACTTTAATATAGGAGTCTGAATCAAGTTCATATTTATCGATAATTAATAGAGCACTTAGATGGCGTAGATACACGTGCTGGTGCTGTGTAGTTTTTGTGATTTACAATGTATTATAATTGTAAATTAGTTAATCGGTAGAAAAAAAGTCTTATTAAAATTGTGATTAAATTGTGTTTAAACGAGAAATTCTTGAGATTTTGCATAAGCTCAGATTTGTTTACAATTTAACAATGCTTCAATGACATTTCAAACACGATCCACATTATAAGACATGTTAACACTGTCTATAGCTATTTGTGTATATTTTGACATCTTTCAAGAATACCTAACGCTCTATGTCTACGCTCTATTCTACCGTATAGTTAAGCCCATTTATAAATAAAATTTACATACTAAAACTTATCAAGCTGGGTTACGTTCATAAACTAGACATTAAGCGATTTGCACAGTAGTAGTCGTATAATTATAGCAATAGATCACGTATAAATTATGAAGCAATAGATCAAACAATATAATTGCTGTTGTCAGCTGCACGTTTACCATAATTTTAATGCTGATTAGATTGCAATATATATATATATATATATTAATCAATGAATTGTTATCGCAGCGCTGTAATTTCTGTATTCAATGATAAGGTGAATGATAAGCCAATGTTGAGGCAAGCCTAACTTACCCTTTTTAATACCTCTTCTGCTTCCTCTTCAATCCCAAGCGAGCTTCAGCGTCATCAATGTGGATGTTGTTGTTTTTGTTGTTTGTTGTTTGTTGTTTGTTGTTGTTGTTGTTGGCTTTTAGCTGCTCTTTTGCCCACCTCGCGCTGTCTTTTCACTTTCGTTGACGACGCTTTGTTATTATTATTATTGCTGCTGCTGTTGCTGTTGTAACTGGTCGCGGACGCGGCGGGGCATGCAACACTATCCTCAGTCAAATGTCGACGCCGACTGCGCAGCATCGCTGTAACCGAAACGGTAAATGTTTGTTGGCAAACCTGGGCAGCGCACAGTTGCATTTTGGCGCTCGTCGCTAACGATTCGCATGAGCCGCATTAACCAGCCACGAGCGGAACTTCCAAGCCGTAAAGCGAAAACCGCCCGAAACTCAGCCAAACGCGGCGCCTGCGCTGTTGTCGAAAACCGAAAACCGTTAATATAGCCCGCCCCGGGCCACCCAGCATCAGCGGGCACAACGACATTATATAACCGTGGGCACGGGCCCCCAGTTTTCAGTTTCAGTTTCAGTTCGAGTTAAGTTTGAGTTATTCTGCCATTTGCAGCTGCGCGCGCATATTTTGCGGCTCGGACAGCGCCGGTAACGCCCACATTTGGCTAATTAATGCGCAACGGGAGAAAAGAAAAGCAAAGTGTAGCTGGAAAAATCTTGGAAATTATAATATTTATGGCATAAAAAGGTTTTGAGAGGCGAATGCGTGTTATTAAAGAAGTCAGCCGGGGCCAGAGTCACCAGAGTTTAACTCGGCAGCTCATTTGACTGCAAGCGTGAAAGTGAAAAGCAGCCGTAACAGTAACAATAGTCGCAACAGCATCATCAGCATCAGCAGGATACCGCTACTGGCATCTGGCATCTGCCACGGCCACAGCCGCAGCTGTCTGGGTCTGGGTCTGGGTCAGTCATGCGCGCGATCAGTCGCTGATGCCGTGCGGTTGCTTGGCGAGCAGCGACAACATGATGAAGCTATCGTCACAACAACAACAACAACAACAACAACAACGGCAACAACGGCAACAACAACAGCGGGCAACACACGCACTGGCGCTGACCTTGCGCTGGCTCTGCCTGCTGCTGCTGGTGCACAACGCCGCACAGTTTGAGACAGGTGAGTGTAATCAATCTCGCCGAGAATCGGGCAGTCTTGAGTGAACCTTTACAATACAGACTGCGGCTGTCGACCCGGACGTCGCGAGGCACGGATTATTGCCGGCGCTTCCACGCACGAGGGCCAATTTCCGTGGCAGGCCTCGCTGGAGCTACTGCATCCCTCGCTGGGCTTCCTAGGCCACTGGTGTGGTGCTGTGCTCATTCATCAGTACTGGATACTCTCCGCAGCCCACTGCGTGCACAAGTAAGTACCAGCCACTCCACCCAGTTGTAGATGCCGTTCAACGATGCTTCTCTCGCAGCGATCTCTTTAATCTGCCCATTCCACCGCTGTGGACGGTGGTGCTGGGCGAGCACGACCGCAATGTGGAGACGGGCAATGAGCAGCGTATTCCCGTTGAGAAAATTGTGCTGCATCATCAGTATCACAACTTTCGACACGATGTGGTGCTTATGAAGCTGTCCAAGCCCGCGGACCTTTCACGCTCCTCCCACATTCGGCGCATTTGTTTGCCTTTCATGCTGCGCGAATCACCGGAGGCACCAGCGACAACGACGGAGGACGTTCTCAGTCAACAACTGGAGCTGGACGATGTACCTGAGAAGATTGACAATTTTCTGCGCAGTGCGCAGAGTCGCAGACGCTACCGCAATGTGACAGCTCCCAGTTCCATAGACGTGTCCATGCGGGAGCTTATGAACATGAAGATCCTCAGTCGCTTGCGCCAGGCGCTGCGGCAGTCGCAGCGCTCACCGCGCAGCCAAAAACGCACGCGGCGGCGCAACGACAAGCTCATGAAGCTCAAGCTGGACTCGGAGCAGGACACACAATTCGCCAGAGGCGGGGACTCGCACGAGATGCCCTTCATTGACTGTGTGGCCACGGGCTGGGGCAAGGCGAACATTAGCGGCGATTTGTCCAATCAGCTGCTCAAGACGCATGTGCCGCTGCACCAAAACGGCAGGTGAGTCGGCCAGCTATTGCTTTGCAATCAGCTTAACTAAACGTACAGTATCCATTCCAGATGCAGGGACGCCTACGGCAGCTTTGTGAAAATTCACAGCGGTCATTTGTGCGCTGGCCACCTCAACGGAGAGGGCGGCACCTGTGTGGGCGATTCCGGCGGTCCTCTGCAGTGTCGCCTCTCTCGTGACGGTCCCTGGATATTGGCCGGAGTCACCTCCTTTGGTTCGGGCTGTGCACTTGAGAATTTCCCAGATGTTTACCTACGCATCTCGTATTACTTAAATTGGATTGAGGACACGATTGCCTCACATTAAGGCCAGTTCCGGTTCAAAATATTAATCGATACGCGTTAATCGTTAATCGATAATCTTGTACAGTTATCATGCTGCATATGTATATTTATCGAGTGCAAAGAAATTACCATTAACCTTAAAATTTTACATAAGCATAAAATGTTCCCTAAGTTGTTTCCGTTGAGCAGAATATAATCTACACCAAATCTCCTTATTTGCTTAGCTCCTAATATCACAGAGTGTGGACAGCACCCAACCCAGGCCTGCCCATCGTAGGTTGAGGTATTGTTCCAATTGAATCATTCGCACTTCCTAAACCTCAAGCTTGCCTGCGTTCTCGTCTAGCAGCGGCTGCTGTACCTCCGGCTGAACACACTCCGCCGGCAAGGATTTGTGCAGGGATGCGCCTATGGCTAGCGCGCCCAATACGCTCGTGGCCTTCTCCCCGTGCTCGGACTTGTGCATGCCAGCTGGTGGCGACCAAAAGCATAGAAGAAGCGCTGCACTTAGCTGGTAAAGGCCGCCCAGGATCAAGCCCAGCGACACCACAAGCTGCAGCAGTGGGAAACCAGTTTTTAGTGCATGAACCAGCACCTGCAGGCTGAGGGGCAGATTTTCAATGGTGAGATCGACCCAAAGCAGCGGCAGAACTAGATTCTCAAAGGGTTCCATAAGCCGATTGAACTTGATGTTGCCCACCACTTGGTTGGCCTGTAGACGCATGTGAACATGCAAGGGCACGCCCAGTTGCTGTAGGGATTGGGCGGTTAGTTTTGAAGAAACAAGTAAAAATTACCTCCCGTCCACTTACCGGCTGCATCATGAAAGTGGATGTAAAGCGGGACTCATTTGGACTAAGTCCTTCAAAAGGTTTCAGTAAGCTGGGATCAGCATGCATAAAGTGCGGATAAGTAATAGCCAGTGGCATATCTGGAAATGATATAGAAAGAGATGGCAAGAGAATTAGATGGATAAACATCAGTGCTTCCGGAGCACTTACTGTAATAGCAGGGAGAGACATTGCCTACTCCTCGCTTCAGGCAGTGATTGTTCTTGCAAAAGCATGAGGAATTGACGCTGTGCAGCTCGCTGTCAAAGATATGTGGCTCCATAACGTACTCATAGGCATCCAGACCCTTAAAGTTCAGTGTGCGATTGAATTTCATAGGCAAGAGCCGACAGAAAGTTCGTCGATAGATGTGGAAGGTGTCGTGTTCGTTCATGTCTCGTGGAAAGAGGGTGGCATCATGACTGCCCCAAATGCGATTACACTGTGTTCCGCTGCAAGAAAAGATAAGTGGTTATAACCAGGAACTTGGGCAATGACTAATCATTGCTCACTTGGTGGCCTCATCGTACTCCCAGCGCTTAAAGCCGCGTTCGTAGTTAATGCTATTGATGGAATAGCCGCGTGGCGAGCCAGGCAGGTTAACACCATGCGCATCCTTGAGCTCTGGCAGATGCATATTGACCACGTTGCTCTCGTTGCCCTCGCGAAATAGCTGAACGATAATTGAAGAAAATTTTTAGGCATGCAACAGGCAACAGCAAGACGCATGCGTTGCGAATACTAACCTTCTCCATGATGCCAAAGCTGGAGAAATCGATCAGACTTGGCACAAACTTGGAAGCCAAATGCACCAGATGATCCTCATAGCCCCACATGTAGTCGTGAACGCTGACCTCCAGCATGGGCTGTGCATTGAGGCGTTTGGCCAAAGCGCTCAGGCCGAGTGCGGCGAACATGGAGAGGCTGGCTGCCTGTGTGCTGACGCCCATGTAGGGTATATTAGGCGCCCGAATGCGATCGATTTTCGGGTCACCCACCGAACGCTCCGGCACGAAGATATACTCACGACGCGGCGTGTAGGTGATGGTGTTATTTGCCTCGTTCAAGGTTATATTATGATTGGAGAGCACCTCCTGATAGACATAGGGGCCAACCTCCTCGACCTTCATCTTGGCATCCGTGCCCGCTATAAACGCATCCACATTTGTGTAGTTAAACATGTAGACCATGATGTAGACATCAAGCGGTGGAACGAGCCACAGCTTGCGCAGCAGCGCATGAGGACTCAGACTGATTTGCTAAACCAGAGGGAATCAGTTGGGATCTATGGTCAGCTAAATGCACTTCTTACCCAGTCGACAATTAGCTTGACGGGATCTGTCATAAAGATGGCTGCTCCAAAGAAAATGAGTGTCATGCCAAGCGCAGCACATCGCAATAGCTCTGCGAAATAAATTGGAGTACGAGGTGAGTTATGCAATTAGCTCGATCTCAGCTCAGTTTGTGTCGCATTGCAATTGTTGCAAGCAGTCGAAGTTCAACAAGTTTGCAAAATCGCTGACAGCTTGTGGATCGCGTGCGGCTGCCTGCCATGTTATTGACCTTCGCGATTCTCTGTTGTTGTCAACGGCAACTCATTGCAAAGATCTGCGACCTACCTCAATGGCAGGAGCAGGAACCGCCACTTGGCCAAAAAAAAGAAGATATATATATATATATATATAAAAGCGCCCAAACAAAAGTAAAACAAAATGCTGTTGATGACAAGGCACATGTGCTACCAATCGAGTTCAATAAACGCTCTTCGGCTTTGTAAACAGTGAGAAGGTGAGACAGGCACTGGGGCAACATTTTATGATGCCTGAGAAATAAACATAAACATGTTGTGTCACACGTCTTACCCCGTCTCCGTCTCCGTCTCCGTCTCATTGCAAAACCCAGTTTATGTTCTTATGCTGTGTCTGTATCTGATTGATTTGTGGGAATTTCGAGCGGGTTGAAGGTATCTGGAGCTGACCTCGCATGGCAGTTGCAACGGACTTGATAAGAATTATATATATTTTTATAATACTCTTAAATGAATTAAAAGTACAGATATCGTAAAATATTGAATATTTTTAATATGCCAATGTAGCCAACATTCTTTGAGCTTTGTTTTATTTATAGCGCGTGTGAAAACTCGTTTTGTTCACTTTGGAAATACACATACAAGATGCTCACCTTCCAGCAAGACTGTTATCATTGAAGTAGTTTCGTTGCGGATGTGTTCATAAACTGATTACAAACTATGCGTAACTAATTTGTGAAAGAATTCATTCGCATGTCTGGCCGATTTTGAGGATCATGGCCGTGCATGCCCCACCTCAACACACAGTCCATAAATCAAGAGTCGAGTCTTAACCCATTTTTTTTTTCAGAGAAATCATTTAACAAAATCCCCCCCAAATAAAACAAATAACACTTGACAAAACCGCAAGTGCCTGACAATAAGATATGAAATAATAATATATCACACTAAGAATCCGCTCTAAGCACCTGGTCAGATCAATGAACCATGCTAACCAAGCCCCTAGGCAATAAGCCATGTCTTTGAATCACCCGCACGGCTGCAAAACAGCATAAACTCATTAATAGTTTCGCCGATGTTTTGTGTTTGTTTTAATGTCAGCTTTGTCACGCCATCAGCGCAAATAAGTTCAAGATTTCAAAATCAAAACAAAACGCAAGAGACCATCTATGATAACAAATACCAGTGTATGTTTACAGGTATAGCTATCCAAATGCGTCTGTGTATGTGTATGTGTATCCTTGCCTTGAATCGCATTGCTGCGATAACACACACTCACGTACATGGCCATAAGTGGTAGCCAGTTAGTCAGTCGACTGGGCCAGTCATAGACATGGATAGCTTCCAGTCACCAGACAAGACATACCATAAATTAGGCACCAAACAAAGCGCTCAAATTATTCTGCTGCAACGAATCTCTGATGGGAAAGACAAAAAAAAAAAGACGTCGATCGGCACTCGACAACGATCGAAACAGCGAACTCTGGGGTAAATTATGCAACTGCATTGCCAAAGTTTCGAACGCGACTGAAACGGCGTTCCAAAAGCCAAATGCCGTACAAATGAGCATGAATGAGCGGCGCTTGTCTTGTCCGACAGCTGATTCGGTTGAGCTCTGAACCCGTTTCTCTGGCCGCACTGAGGCACAGCATCAGTGGCTCAGCTATATGCAACCTACAGATACATTTGTATCTCACAGTTATGAGGTTGTCGGCTGACGGCACTCTACGGCAGTTTGAAGTTCAAGTTCGCTGCAATTTGGCATAGCATTAAGAGCTGAGATAAAAAATTAAATAAATAAAAAAAAGGTGCTCAAAATGCACACGGTACGAAATTGTTGAACTCACGGCAGCGAATGGCAACACGTCGCTGCTGACCCACTAAAATTCAAGAATGAATTGTTTTTGTATCTGGCCAGCAACAATCTATACTTCAGACACCTTCAAATATGTGTGTGTCTGTCTGTCTGTCTGTGTGTGTGTGTGTGTGTGTTTGACTTCCGTCAAATGGCAATAAATTAAGTATGTGTATTAGCCAAGTTAACCAGCCAGCTAGTCAGCCAGGCGGCCAGATATAAGATGTGTGCTTGTGCTTACGTATGTAACTACAAGATACGGTCGCATAGCATTTGAAGTTGTTGTCATCGCGTTTGTTTGCCAGTCGATTGTTTGCTTGTGTTTAGCTAATGATTAATCTTACATTGTAGGTTGCAGTTAATCATCTCCAAAAAAAAAAAAAATAAATAAATATATATATAGAAAAAAAACCCCAAAACCCTTAAATAGTCTCGCCGGCAATTAGACAGCCTGCCAATAAGGAAATGCAAACAACGCCAGGTGCAGGCTAATCAGAACCAGACCGCTTCACAGATCTAAGCTCAGTTCCGTTCGGCAGTTGGCTTTGAAATGGATAGGTGTTTTTTGTTTTTATTTTTTTTTTTTTTTGTCTATTGTCGCTATTGCCTTTACAATTTATTGTTATTTACATTGTTTAGCACACGTTAAGTTGTGCATTATATCTATTTTCAATGAGTGACGATTTCGAAAAGCGCTAAAGAATTTAGCAAATATTATACTTTGCCAAATATTCTGGCTGGAAACGTTAGTATGGTTGTCGAGCATTTGTGTTTACATCTGTTGACACTTCTGAGGAAAGGAAAAGTTTGTCAGTTGGGGAATACTTTCGCACACCTGGCCAATTGTAACACTCGCACACACACGCACAGATGTGGGTCAATTTGGAAACAGTTGACATCTTCTTTTTAAAACATATATATATATATATATATAATGCCTACTAATCA